GGAGAGGTTTTCGCTATAGGGCACGTGTGCTTGCCAGACAGACAGAGAGAGACATAGAGACAGAAAGTGAGAAATCACCCCCCAGGGGGGATGGTCACACCGCAATCCCTTCTCCTCCATTCTCCTCTTGGGATCTTGGGCACGCACGCAGACATGCCCGGTGTGAGTTTAAGCCACCAGGTCCAGGATGTGAACCGCGGTCGACTACGTGGGAGTCCAGCGACATAGCCATTACGCTAACTGCTGGTTCCCAGATTTTTTTGTTTTTTAAATGAAGATATTTCCTTAGAGTTCAGTTCATGTCTGGGTGTCCCCTTGTGTAAAAACTCAAAGTCAGCGATTACCAGATGTCCTCAGTTCTCAGTACTGGCACTAGGATATTCATTTATCTTCCACTCGAAGGATGAAGACTTCAAGTCAATGTCTAGAAAGATTCTCTCTCTCCTTTTGGAGAAGGGCAAAACTCTGTATGATTGAAAACAAATCACCAAAGAGCAGAGAATCCAGCCAGACTTATTGCTTGAACTCACACACACTAAAAGGAATGGAATGTTTTCTAAATGAACAACTAGCTTGTGGGAAATAAGTTTGTCTACCTAGACACCAACTGCAGCTCAAGAGAGAACGCTTTCCGAAATGGGAGGGTGAACCGCGGGAAGGTATATAGGCCGGCTGCGTCTCTAGTGCTTCCCGGTCTGACTGTTTCTCTCTAGACCATCCCAGATCTTCATCTTGGGAAGAGTCTCACTAGCGTCAGTGAAATGTCTTTATTTCGTTGTGTTTGTCAGATAGTCCAGTTTCTCCACTTCCTTCCACGGTGGTTAGTGTGATTCTAGGCAAAGAATAGAGAAAAGCTCTATTGTTTGCTAGAGGGTGTATGCCCTTGCAAGACAGACAGAGAAGAAAAGAGAAAGCACCTCCCATGGGGAATGGTCACACCAAATCCCTTCTCCATCTCTCCTTCCTTTCAGGGTTTTGGGCACATATGCACACATGCTCAGTGCGTTCTCAAGCTTCCAGGTTCGGGACTTGAACTTGTAACATAGTTAGCCATGTGGGATCCAGTTGCCTTAAATATCAGGCCACAGAACTAGCCCCCAAAGAAAGCTCTTAGAGAAAGAAGTGTTGTATTGACTTTCTTTATCTTACCAAACAAGCATATGTGAACCTCAAAATAAATTCACACACTTGAACTCCATTTTTTCCATGAACTTTTTAAGGTTCGCTTGTATTAATCCCCTATCATAAGAACTGCAGTAAGAACTGTGAGGTCAGAGAGTGCTTGAAATGTTTACTTGGATATTCTCTGAGAGCCTATCTCGCAGTAGTGGCTCAATAAATCATGTTTATTCTTTTTCTTTCTTTCTTTCTTTTTTTTAAAAGGTTGTTGCCATAGGCCATGAGCTTTTGCTGCGATTATCTTGTGTTGGAGAGAGAGAGAGAGAGAGAGAGAGAGAGAGAGAGAGAGAGATAGAGAGAGATAGAGAGAAAAAGAGGGAGACAGAGAGGGAAAGCAAGAAATAATCCCCCAGGGAAGCCATGCTGCAGTCCCCTCTCCTCCATTCTCTGCTTGAGATCTCGGGCATGAACACAAATGTGCCCAGCATACTTTCAAGCCACCAGGTCTGGAACTTGAACCACGATTGGCCAGGTGAGAGTCCAGCACCTTAACCACTACACTACCTGCTTGCAGTATAGACCATTTGATGCTACCATTGGGAAGGCAAGGGGCGCTCAAATGCATACATGCCAGGCTTTCTTATCTTTTTAAGAGAAAGTTCTTGGGACCAGCAGTTAGTGTAATGGCTATGTCGTTGGACTCCCAGGTAGTCGACTGTAGTTCGTGTCCTGGACCCGGTGGCTTAAAAC